AAATTTAGAAAATGGACGTGGAGTGAAGTTTCCACGTGTATGTGCTCCGATCTTAGTTACAGGCATTCACATTGCCCATGCGAAACATGCAATGGTAAAGCTGTATCCTCTTCAACTGAGTTTCACCACTGGGAAAAGAACAATCTTTTGGCCAAGTGAGTTGCTTAGAATATAAATCATGGGGCATGGCCACAACTTTGTACTATTTTCATACTTTAGCTATGTAAGCTTACATGCAATCGTACAAATATAAGATTTTAAAATAAGCTTACTCAGCCACGTTTTGCAAAAGTCTTCCTTATTATTAAGCTGGAAATCCTAATTGAGAGGAGAATATCAGACGAGTTGAGAATACGTACATCCACTTTAATTATTGAGTGTTTTTGTGCTTGTCATTTAAAGCATTAAGTAACCTCAGTCTTAGGATAAGGACTGTGGTGTTATGTACCAGTCAAATTAAAGCTTCAACACCCTTCCTCCCTTTCAGACATACCCTGGCATTTTTGAAAGTATATATACCCCAGGCATGTTTGCATATTATTTATATCCCATTTAAAATGTTTTATCATTCTGTCTGCTTGTTTGACTGGTTTTCATGAGCATTAGAAGCTACACGGTTAAAACAGTTGTCTGGTTTTTAAAATTTTCCCTGTGGTGGGGGCATTTGATCACTTATATAATCTGCTTATAAGGGGGATTTGAATGGCTTTTTGCCCCAGGGAGTGGGAATTTGAACACAAATTTGCAAAAATTCAAATGCTGGAAAGGTTGCCTTGGGGTGGGGGGATGTTGAAGTTTTGATTTATTTTTCAGGTACATAAGTAGTTGTCACTCTGTTCATCCTTTGTCCTCCCTGTTAGTGAGGACAACTTACCATATTCAAACAGATCGCACTGCATTGAAAAGGGATCCTGACTAATGGGGAAAACTCCATCATCAACAACTTGATCTCTTGTCTGTGGAGGCCCTTAATTTATTATGTGTTTTTTTTTAAATAGGAGCGACAGTAACAGCTTGAACACTGAAAGTCCAGAGGAAAGTTCCTCAGATATAAGTGATGAGGAAAATGGACTTGAAAATTTGAATGATGTCATTACTGAAGGTGATGAGATTATTGGAGAAAATGTTTGTGGTGTTGCTGATGAAGCTAGTGGTGCAGCCAATGGAAATTTAAGTGATTTCAATACTGAAGGCAGTGGTAATGAAGATAGCATACTTGAAGAAAATGTTACTGATGCTGTTATCGATGAAGGAAGTGGTGCCACCAATGCAGCAGGTTTAGGTTGCAATGGATCACAATCTCCCTCTGATGGGGATAACATCAAGGAAGAAACAGTTAACTGCATTCTCAGGGGTCTTATTTTAGCAGAGGAGATGACATATCACGACAGATATAGAAAAGTTACTGAAATATGCCAAGGACCTCTATTGCAAGGGTGATTGCAACCTTGAGAAATATTGGCCCTCTAACTGGAGGGAAACAGAGAAGCTACTTAAAGATGTGGGTTATGAAAACCCACAGGAATATTTCATATGCCTTGATAATAGCCACCCTGC